ACATCTTCGCGGCACCCAGATGAATAGAATACCGCGAGCTATGGGCCTCCTTCAGAATCAACTCTCTCAGCCCATCCACATTGGGCACACAAATCCGGCCTTCCATCCTCAACACCCCATCATCACCGATGGTCACATCTCTAGCATCAGCATGCTGAACGCTGTCCTTAAGGACAAGCAAATGTAGGTCATCATACTGGTGCTCTTTGATGTGATCAAATAAGGAAGACTGAGAAACCACGCAAGAAAACACCCGACTGGGCTCCGAAATATCCAACCTTACGAACCGATTGACCAAGGCCTGAACATCAATTGCAAGGGGTCTCTCCCCAACTGGAATATATGCCAAACTCCCCATACTCACCGCCTTTCGACTCAAAGCATCGGCCACCACATTGGCCTTTCCCAGATGGTACAATATAGTGATATCATAATCCTTAAGCAACTCCAACCATCTCTGCTGCCTCAAATTAAGATCCTTTTGTTTGAACAAATGCTGAAGACTGCGATGATCAGTGAACACCTCATAAGATATGCCATACAAGTAATGCCTCCAAATTTTCAATGTATGAACTATGGCAGCCAACTCCAAATTATGAACGGGGTAGTTCTTCTCATGGGGCTTCAACTGACGAGAAGCACACGCAATAACTCTACCCTCTTGCATCAATACACAACCAATCCCAACTCTTGAAGCATTACAATACATGGTATATGAACCTAAAGCTGATGGCAAGACCAATACTTGAGCTGTGGTCAAAGCCGTCTTGAGCTTCTGAAAGCTCTCCTCACACTCGTCCGACCATACGAATGAAACACCCTTCTGAGTCAATTTGGTCAAGGGAGATGCGATAGATGAGAATCCCTGAACAAACCGACGAAAATAGCATGCCAACCCAAGAAAGCTACGAATCTTTGTGGCTGAGGATGGTCTAGGCCAACTCTGAACCGCCTCAATCTTCTTTGGATCAACCTGAATACCCTCGCTGGACACCACGTACCCCAAGAAAGCCACTGAACTGAGCCAAAACTCACACTTGGAGAATTTTGCATAAAGCTTCTCCTCCCTCAATCTCTGTAATACAACTCGCAAATGCTCCGCGTGCTCCTCTTGACTACGCGAATACACCAGGATATCATCAATGAATAATATAACGAACGAATCAAGATAAGGCCGAAACACGCTGTTCATCAAATGCATAAACGCTGCTGGGGTATTGGTTAGCCCGAAAGATATCACAAGGAACTCATAATGACCATATCTAGTTCTTAAAGCAGTCTTAAGAATATCTAACTCCCTGATCTTCAATTGGTGATAGCCCGAACGGAGATCAATCTTGGAGAACACTCTCGCTCCCTGAAGTTGGTCAAATAAATCATCAATGCGAGGCAAGGGATACTTGTTCTTAATTGTTACTTTGTTCAATTTCCTATAATCGATGCACATTCTCATTGTGCCATCCTTATTCTTCACAAACAAAACTGGTACACCCCAAGGTGACACACTAGGCCGAATGAACCCCTTATCTAGGAGTTCCTGAAGTTGTTCCTTCAATTCTTTCAACTCCATTGGTGCCATACGATACGGCGGAATAGAAATGGGCTGAGTGTCCGGCACCAGGTCAATACCAAAATCAATATCCCTGTTCGGCGGCATGCCCGATAGGTTTGCAGGAAAAACATCGGGAAAATCCCTCACAACTGGGACAGAATCAATACTAGGAGTCTCAGCTCCAACATCCCTCACAAACGCTAGATATGAAAGGCAACCTTTCCCAACCATACGTTGGGCCTTCAAGAAAGAGATCACTCTACTAGGAACATAATCAGTCATACCACGCCACTCGATCTGCGGTACACCCGGCATAGCCAAAGTGATAGTCTTAGCATGACAGTCTAGAATAGCATGACACGAAGATAACCAATCCATGCCCAAAATGATATCGAAATCCACCATGCTCAATAGTAATAGATCCACTCGGGTCTCCAGACCCCCAATAGTCACCACACATGACCGGAACACACAGTCTACAATAATAGTATCGCCCATCGGGGTAGATACATGAACAGGTAAAGCAAGAAACCCATGGGGCATACCCAAATAACAAGCAAAATATGATGACACATAAGAAAAGGTGGAACCGGGATCAAATAATACAGAGGCAACTCTGTGGCAGAATGAAATAATACCGGTAATGACAGCGTCTGAAGTGCATAGAAACGGGCCTGACCGCCCTCTGATCGACCTCCCCCTCTGGGGAAACCCCTGGCTGCCTGACCTCCACCCCTAGCTGGCTGGGCGGGTGGTAAAGTAACTGGAGTAGAAGTCGAGGGCTGACCCCTCTGTTGGGACGAACTAGCAACACGACGAGGACACTGCCTCCACACATGCCCAAACTCTCCACACTCAAAACAACTCCTAGGTGCTGGAGAAGGGGACTGAAGGGAACCCCTCGCACTGGAGTGACTAGCTGACGCACTCGGCATAAAAGAACCCTGAGCTGATGGGGCACGAGATGAACTCTGAGCTGGGAGGGCACTAAGTGCTGACTGGCCCTGCTGAGTACCGTGATAACCATGACCCGAAGATGCCCCACGATAACCTGGGCGGGCTGACTGAGCAGGCCTGAAAGAACGACCTCTACCATGCTGGAACTGGCCCCTCAAAGGAGCACCACTATAACTGCCAGATACTCGAGGCCTCTTGGCCTCCCTCTCCTCCCGATCCTGATGGTGAACCGTCTCAATCTCACTAGCGATATCAACCACCTCCTCGAATGTAGCACCCAACACTCTCTCTCTAGCCATCAGAATATGGAGATGGTAGTTAAGGCCATCAATAAATCTCCTGATCCTATCACGATCTGTCGGAACCATCCAAACGACATGACGAGCCAACTTAAAAAACTTCGACTCATACTGTGACACAGTCATATCCCCCTATCTCAACCACTCAAACTGTCTACGCGAGACTGCAGCACATACTTCTCCAGGAAGAGAACGGAGAACTTATGCCAAGTAAGGGGCGCTGCTCCAACCGGCCTACACCTCTCATACGCCTCCCACCAAGTGAAGGCAGCCCTAGAAAACTTAAAGGTAGTAAATGCCACACCACTAGACTCAAGAATCCCTGCTGTATGGAGCATCCGCTGGCACTTATCCAAGAAACCCTGGGCATCCTCGCCCTCTGCTCCGCTAAATGTCGGAGG